ATAGGGAGGGCTGTACCACTTAAATGATGCATTTCTATGGTTTATGCTACACATTATGAGTTCCCACTGGCTACAAGTCACTGCAGCGATATGTGTCCAAGTCAGACTCCGAAATGTCCGATCCCACTCCAGAAGCACATTACCTTTTTTAATACTCTTCGTGATCTTCAAAGGTTTTATCGAATAATCTTTTGCGTCAAGTTGCATAGAAAAAGGCTGGTCAAACTTGTCTCCTTTGAGCTTTAGAATAACATTTTATTACTCGAAGTTTTTTTCAAGAAGCAAAACTTATCAAATTCAGATACTCAAAAACCAGTATTCCTTCAAACCGACCAAGGAAGTGGCATTTTTACTGCATCACAACTTTCGAGGTAGACCCTTTATTGGTAGACGAAGCGCACCAGTCAAGGTGGAAATGAAGAAGGCGTGGCTGGCAGTGGCAAATTAAGTGCCTATAGGGCAGACCAAATGTACAGACCCTTAAGCCATGGTTTCTTTGCCTAAAAATAACTACGCGGAGAAACGCGGATCCACTGCACAAAGGGCAGACAACAGTGGGAATAGTGTAATAACCCCCGACAGGGGGCGAGATTGAAGTCAACAGTGAACTTCCCCATCAGACAAGGGGACTCTGCTGAGAGCTTTCGGCCATAAAATCTCCTCGGAATAATTGCACACCATTGGCCGGTCTGGAACTACTAAAGCGATGCAAAGTGCCTAGTACTTGATTACGGCATAATTATACTGTCAACTGGTGAATCATATTGAGCAAAGCCGTCTAAATTCATAAGCCCCATCCGCTTTCGAAGCAGATTCACCCATTGAATCACATCGAGGTAGTCAAAAAGTTGTAGACTAACTGACAGTAGATCAGTTTAATTTGGAGTAAGCAGTGCTTGTTTCACAAGGTGATGCAATGGGACCCTCTCGATCTTCAGTGTAATACGATTCCAACCACCCCTTTCATAGTGAGTATCTACTTACCTATGACGCAGTGGTGTGTGATGAGTCGTCTCAAATAATACCTAAAGCAAATACAATTGCCAACAAGTAACCCCGGTTTTTTTTTTACATCAAGTTGTGCAATAGTAATAAGACTGAACATTACAATCTCAGGCAGGTGCCTCTTACCTCTCCTTCGAGAAGAATGATGAAAAGAATTATCATGCAAAGTGGTGAAATATTTATCCCCAAATCATGCTGTTCGATAATGGCATTTTTAAAGAACGACAGAGAATCATACTGTCGACTCGATATAGACAGAGAGAAGGCCTATTTCACGTCCACTATCTAAGTCTTCAGGGCAACGGCTTGGCGATTTTAGCATTTTCAACTAAGAGCTTCTGATTCCTCTCCTGTTTTAGCATCGCCAATGAAAGATCATAATCCTGAGCGCTTAGGACCTGTCTTGTCATGAGATCTTAGGAACAGTGTAGCGTTCTAGATCCAGAAAATGGAGACAGATTTCGGGACCCAGACTGAGAATTACTCTGGAGAGATCCTACACTTTTTATTCCCTCCACCCCCTTAATACCAAAGTGTCGCTGACGCCTGCTGTCAAAGGTGTCACGAGCAGAAACCACCTAAAAGCAATAAATGTAGTCATTTTAAAAGCGAAACAAAGACATAAGCAGCAGCTTCCACACTGATACACTGGTCTTTTAACCTCTAAAATTCACCCCTTTCGATCCTATACTTTACTTACCCCGTTTGGTACCAGCATCACCACAACATTGCTGTGATTCTACCGGGCCGACGCATGCACAATGACCCCAGCGCCCCAATGCAAAAGTAGATATGAATCAAAACATACAGATTCATCCGGGTCCGAGAGAAAGGAGCTCGGTAAGGTGACGGTAGTTTGAAGATAGACTTGGGATCGAGTTCAAAACACTTGCTACATTTTGCCGTCTCCCTCATCTCTAGACGTTCCACCTTCGCCTAGGGAGAAAGGCAAAATCGTGGATGGAGTCAGCAAAGGAGCCCACAAAAGCGTAGGAAATGTTGATCATGTAACAGAGAAACACTGCCAACCACCAGCATTATCACAGCCAGAGAAGCACACTTGTTGCACTAAAAAGAACACTGAAAGCGAACAATGTCACAAGGAACTAGGTAGCAAGGGATTAACATTCACTTGAGCGTGAGCTTTCAATAATAAACAAACCTTGGACAAAGACCTGTATAAAATCTAAACTACCTAAAACTGTTTAAGGACTCATTCGTAGGCCTCCCGCAAGGTGATCAGTTACAACTACTGCCAGTTTTAGAGGCCTGCAGAGGGTCGAAAACAATGAAACACCCTAAAGGCAATCACAATACAGTCTACTTCAAAAGTACCTGAGCCTCTTCTTAAAACCGTTAGTACTGTACTAACTGACGCAGTTAATGCGATGACAAAGAAGGGTAAAAAAATACGCACTTGACAGTGCGTACCTACACCTGCCAAGTTGTCACCCACAGACCTCAGCACCAAGTCGAAACGAGATCTTCAGATTGACGACTAGCGTAAGACGCATAGAAAAGAAGGTAGAAATCAAAGACAAAAAATCTTCAACATTCATCTCTTTGCATTCTTTTTCAAAATTCAACGAAAGAGATAACTAAGCTTACCAGCTAGAGAGTAGCGGAACAACGATGAAACAAAGGTTGAAAAAGAATTTTAGACATAAAATAGGCTCCTTAAGGGGTTAAAACTAGGTAAAAGACAACTTGCTATTTGCAATGTAGAAACACATTTGAAAGAATTTTTACAGGGTTTATGTGTCAAATGTAGGCATCATAACACATCCACGTCACGAACGTTGCCATCCTGTAACCGAGACAGTTGGCAACATTTACAGAGTAGGTCACTGCGAAGACTCGTGACTAGTGGGTAGTTGTAAAATGAGACTTTTAATGTGAATTATCAAGGATGGAGAGACGTACATCAGTCAATCAGCACCTTCCTCCCTAACCTACTCTCTACTACCTTCCTCTTGTTCCCAACTCACTTTCAACCCATTCACCGCCAACTGAATCTAATACCATGTAACGCCAATCCGTCTGCTTTACTCATTTGAACGCGATTCCAGAGCTGCAGAAACTTCTCCGCAAATGTGTCCTCAAACATGTGAAATAGGTATGGTGGTAGAACGTGTGGAGCAGAAATGGTGCACATGGGCTAGAATATTGGTAACGAAGCACCCGAAGATAGGGGTGGTGCATCAGCAAAACTTTCTATCCTTAGTAGTGACGAATTACCGATTGCCCATGACCAATTACAAGAGTCGAGTTACGAGTCGTCATTGAGACAGTAGAATAAATCGACAGTGAAGTACCAGACACGACCTTGGACAATATTTTGAGTGATGGTGATGACGAGGATGGTAACGATGTAGCAACTTGTTAGTTGGGAATGCAAGGTAGTGGTGGAAGCTGGTAAACAGATGGGTCCCTCCACCCACGCTCCGCGTGTTAGCAGAAGCCAGACAACAGGCTCCAGAAACTACCAATTTAATTTGGTCTTCACGCCTTTCATGCACAAACATGTCCACTCGCCATACACGTTTGGCCCTTACCGACTGGCGACCGACCTGTGCTGAGACATGACCGTAGTAGGCTACTCACTCCAGTGCGAAGAGAAGAGGCGTCTCACCGGTTATTTTCAAACCATCCACAACCCACACCACCAACTTCACACTTCGTGGGTGCACGCCACATTATTCCCACAGAATCGTGCTTCCAATGTGTGTGTGTGTGTTGTGTATGCAAGCATGTGTGTGAGTGTGTGTAGGTGGTGGCACACAGACAAAATCGTTCATTCACTTACTGAAGGCCAAACAATTGGGGTTGAGGTCAGCTGACTCAATGCAATGCAAGTGGAGGATGCAGAGAAGGAACTCTTCCTTGAAACAGTTAGGTTAGGTCAGTCATTTAGTGAAGAGGAAGAAGGACTCATTTTCAAGCTTAGACGACAACACAACGTCCCATGCTTCATACCTCACGCCTTTTACCACGAGACCTACCCCAGAGGAGATATTTAACTTGGTTGTGATGGAAAGGAAAGGGTTAATACCTCATCTGCATTCGCATTCTCCGTATTTGCTTGGCATTTCTGCAAGCTTCAACTGATCGCCACCTCTTCTCGTAGTTAGCATTTAGCATTAAAGGATCACATGTGTAG